GGTGGTTGCCTGATCTGTATGCCCTTTCGTTTCGGCAGTGCAGGCGTTTCAGCATTCTGGACGAAATGTGGTGCTCAGTGATAGTTACTTAGCGCATTAGGGGCCTTATGCACACCAGGGTGAACCTCTTCATGAACTCTTTCGTTTTTTGATAACTTAGACCAGTGTAAGATGACATAAATTTCTGAAGCTTCTCCACGTTTGTGGAGCGAGTATCTCAGCAGAGCACCGTCTTGGAGTGATGTAATGCTTGCGTCTCCGTTACGACTTTGTGGCGTACGTTTAAGACGATATGGACAATGCAGTGGTCCGACATTCTCAATGGAGCGGCCTTGCAAGTGGTATTCAGGGCCGTTCGAAAACACTCGGTGGAGAGCCGCACCCCCACGTGTGTTGAAGTGTACCAGGTTTTCCAGGCCAAGTGGTAAAAGGGCTTCAAGACCTTGCCGATTGAAGTTTCCAGTCAAAGTGATTATATTCTTCTGAGCAGCTAGTGATAAGAATAGTGTCAGCGAGTCTGCACATTCTTCTAGATCTGAAGCGTTGCAGTCGGGAGCACTGTAGACACTCCGTAATATTAGATACTGAAACCCGGGGCAAAACTTGTTTCCAGCAGCGAAGAATCATGTGAACGCTGTCGATGCTGTCAGACTGTAACGTGAACTTCTGTGTTGAATGGACAAGCTTTTCCTGTCGAACGTATGGTACGACTCCGCGGACACGTTTTCTTCGTAGAAGATCGGTCCATCCGATCGATCCGAAATGGTTCAAAGCCATCAAGCGTCAGGACTGTTTTTTTGATTGTTTAGCAACGATTCCTGGAGAAGTAGCATCGAGACATTTGTATATCGCCTCATAAGGAAAGTTGCCAAAATTTTGCTAGGTTTGGTCCTTACGGAGCGAACGTTGGCAGAAATGATATAGGACAACAGAAGACTAACAGCGCTATTCTTCTTAAGGTGGTTTGCCAATCTGCCCGACGAAAATGTCTTCTTCGACGTTGATCGTCATGCAAGATTGCTTTTTCTAATACTCTCCTAAAAGTCTGTGGGGAAACTTTCGTAGCGGTCGTACTGAGAATTCGGAGACCTTTGCTGGAATAACTCAACCTGTCAATCATCCGCTGATGAACACGGTATACGGTATCACGAATTTCACGATAAAGAAAAACTTAACGAACCTAAATATAACAAAGGAACGATAAACGGGAACAAAATACGTTTACAAAAATGTACAAGAAAGTACTTTGAGATGATCTGCCAGTTCAGAGCACCCACTATGCAGAGTATACCCGTTTGTCACTGTCCCACTATTAGCTAGGTTAAACTTTAATAAATATAAGCAGCAGTGTGGTTTAACCAGTATCTTTATCCAGCCATCGTCGTTGTAAAAGCAAAACGCTTAAACGAGGTTCCCAAAAGCAACTGTGAAAGAAAATAAATGTTAAACTTACCATGTGAACTATCGAAAAGCACTGAATTGTCGATGGATCCCTCGCGTTTCTTTTTCAGTCTCGGTGAAGTCGTATGTGATGCCAGTAATTCGATCATGTGTGGTATAATTTATTTATTTCGTTCTTGTCTTCCTGAGGTCTTTTACGATTTCAGCCTGTAGACTGCTGTTAATTATGACCGCACCCATTTAGGTATATGTTGCACTGACGAATTTATGAGCATGAAAGAGAGTGACAAGGAAGCGCTGCGAGAAGCGATGGAACAGCAGACAGTAAGTGTCGCAAAGGCCGGAATTGTGTCCCGTTTGAACTGTCGATGTTCGATTGTGGCTGCGTGTAACTCTGAGGTGCCGTGAAATTTGATTGACACGGTTAAATGGCCATTGCGTGTAGTTTTTAGACATCACGCATTGGAGTCTCATCGGAGTCGACCAGCGCGATACCTCTTAGCAGCCCACTACTGAGTCGTTTCGACATCGTGTTGTTTATGGACGGAGACCAGAAAGCATGGACGAACAAAATCTGTCGTAGTGTTCTCATGAACCAGCTGAAAGCCAGTAGGCAAGATGTGACCGCGGCAGCGCAGAACCCTAATAACGGCGGCGACTTGTTATGGTCGCTTTCAAAACTGAAGGAATACATACGGAGAGTGAAGAAGATCGAGCCCGTTTTGTCTCCAGATGCCAAAAAGTATGCAGTTGGCTTCAAATTAATCGATATAAAGTAATCAGTTTATGTCGAAACGAACTTTTCATGCATGTATCTCAGCTGAGAGAATTCCTTTGCGAATAGAAGAAATTGATTGATGATAATGGTTTGGTGATGGGGGGGG